TTAGTGCCTTACTTTTTGCTGAGACTGGCTTTGAACTCTTGATCCTCCTGCCTCAGCCTGCCAAGCCGCTAGGATTATAGGCGTGGAACACCACACCTGGCTAAACCTACCTCATTCATACTAGCAGCACTTAATATTCCATTGTTGGTTGTGCTGTGATTAATTTAGTGGGTCCCTCATTGATGTCAATATAGACTATAATTCAATTTTTGTTACAAAATGCTATAGGGAACACATACACAGAAATACACACACTCTTGCAAAAATATGTTTAGAATAAAATCTTAGCCCTAAAGTTTCTGGGTCTCAAACAATGTTAACACTATGCTACAAGATCACCAGACACACACCTGAGATTAAAAAAAAAAATACCAAAACACAGGTTTACTTAACTCACTGCAGCTGGGAGAGATGAATTACACACCATGGTTGGAGTTTGAAGAGAAGACTCCAGGATTTGGACTTGTGCTGGTTACTACAGGGAGATTCCAGGGAGTGGGAGCAGGGCTGGGATGGGTGTTATCAAGAATCAGGAGCAGGTGGGTGCTGGGGTATCCTGAATTTCTCCAGGAGAGAGTCAAATTGGGCTGGAAGCATCTTTGGTAAAGGAGCAGCAGTCACAGCTGTGGTCAGAAGAGGGGGTTGTTTGATCACTTTGTGCACTGAGGGGCCTGGTCTCGATCTCGTTCCAAATGTGGCCACTAGTGGCCTTGTTGGGTCCCTCTATGGGTCCTGTATGTAAGTGGGGACTTCATGGACAATTGCTGGCACTTATTTTCTTGGGTACATGGATTTAGACTGTGTGTAGCCATTTACATTCTTATGTTTTTTTTAAAAACACTTCCCTAACCCAATGAAGTATTTCATAATCAAAATAATAATGGCAGCTATAATAATAGCAAATGTTTATAGGGCCATTTTGAATGTGGCAACCATTGAATCCTCATCAGAGGCTTGAGGTGGGTGCCAGTAGCATCTCCACTTTCCTATCAGGAAACAAGGCTTCAAATGGCAAGTGGCTTGCCTGGTCACGTAGACAAGCAGCAGAGCCGAGTGCAGGACCTGGCTCTCCAACTCCAGCGCCCACACTCTGCGTTCTCCTCTCTGCTTTTCGGGAACCTGCCAAGGATGAGTGAAAGCTAAGGAATTAAGAGTCATTTAATCGATGATCACGAGTCATTGAGAGGCTGGTTGAGGTTGTTAAGGAAGTCGTCTCCCATTTACAAAAGTGAGAGCTGTGGGCCGCGTTCCAGGAATCCACACGCCATGTTGAGTGAGGGAACCAACCTGCTGTGCTCAGCTACTCCCTTGTGCTCTCAATCAATAAAGGCCTGTGCGGGCTCTCTTCAAATCACAGCCAAGACACTATAATTAAATATTCTCTGGTCCAGCTGGAGCTCAGAGGGTACTTAACCCCCCAGGAAATAAAACAGATGAAGGATCTCATCCACTTGGATCCACAGAGGTTCCAGCAGCTGCCTTGCTGTAGGAGGGTGGGTCCTGTGAGGTGTCCTGGGGAAGATTATGTGTGCAGGGAAGGAAAATGGAATAATATGGTGTTTACCTGCCTAGCAACAGGGTTGAGGGGTGTACGCAGGGGCCAGAAGCCTGCATGCTTGGCTTTGGCAAAGGAAATGCGTGCTGACCACTGGCTGTGCTCTCTTCTAGACTGCGCAGGCTGCGGAAGAGACATCAAGAATGGGCAGGCGCTGTTGGCACTAGACAAGCAGTGGCACTTGGGGTGCTTCAAATGCAAGTCCTGCGGGAAGGTCCTCACTGGGGAGTACATCAGCAAGTAAGACTGGGCCGGGGGTGTGTGGGTCCTTGGAGTGGGGATGGGCCATTGTGGGTGCTGTGCAGACCCTGCCGGGGGCCTTTCCTCCTCAGACCAAATGAAGCACATTCACATCCCATAATTGTTATGAACTTTTTGCTGTAAAACTTTAAGAAATAATTTTGTTATTTTGCCATAATCTGGCTGCTATAAACTAAATGACTATCAATTGTCTAATCATTCCAAAGCTGACGTAATAGTACACCCTATGTCATAACCAATTAAGCATCTAATAATTTCCCTTTTTTCTTTTTTTTTGTCCCATGTGGAACTAGTAAGACTTTCTCCTCCTCCTTTGAGCTTATGTGTAGACTCCCCCAAAGCACATGCAGCCTAGACACTGGGCTCCTGTAGACCAGTGTCAAACCAGCCCAGGAAGCCAGTTCATTTTGAGTCAGAGGTCTTGTGGATGATAGCTAGGGTCGAGGAAGTAAGTGGAGTGTGGGTGGTGGCAGCTTTTAATGCACCCTGCAATGACAAAACTTGCCGTTCTATATCTTTATATGCCCTTTAAAAATTTCCTCTCCCACATGAAATCACCCACTCAGAAAAATTAATAAATTTAGTTGAAAAAATATAGTGAAACAAAAAAGCAGCTGTGGTCTTTTACCTTGGAAATCTAGTTTCATAGTGGACCTGAGTTCCAGCAGAAACACCCTCATTAGAATAAAGAATTCCAGGGTGGATGGCAGTGCTCGGCCAAGGAAGACCAGAGAAGAGTCGAGCTTCTTTCAGTCAACATTGCAGGCTGGGCAGGCTGGGCAGGGTGGGCAGGCTGGGCAGCTCGGCTCTCTAGAGGGTGCTTTTTCACTCTCTCATGCTAGATGAAGCTGAAAATGACATGTTCATTATGCTCTGAGGTCCCTGGAAAGGGTCCTGGGTTCTCAGGCCTCCTGAGAGCTGAGGAAACGGAATCTGGAGGTTGCTGGGTGGCTTCGTCAGGCCTGTGAGCCCAAGGAAGGGGTGTGGGGAGAGAAGGTGCACCCGGGTCCCCACAGAGGCAGACAGCACTGAGCTCACCTCTGAAGCTGGTCTGGGCTGCCGGTGAAAGGGGAGGATCCTGGGTCTTCTGCTGGTTAGTTCTGAAACCCTCCGGGAACCAGCAGCGGGGGTGGGCCTCCTTCTGTGTGGCCTGGAGATGGGCAGCTTTCCAGTCTGTGACAGTGGTCATGTCTGGCCAGGTCCCCAGGCAGGTGGAAGCTGGGTGAGGCATAAACAAGTTCTGGTACGTTCTACCCCCGTTCTGTGGAGAGGGCTCAGGGAAAGGTGACTTCAGTGTCCTCCCCCATCTGTGGCTCTGGTCACCTCTTCTTGGGAGCTGAACACACTTTTGTCTTGCAGGGATGGCGCCCCATACTGTGAAAAGGACTACCAGGGGCTCTTTGGTGTGAAATGTGAAGCTTGTCAACAGTTTATCACAGGGAAAGTCCTGGAGGTAAGTGACAGGAGAGCTCCCCTCAAAGCCACCGCCATTTCCTCAGCGTCCTCAGAAACACTAGAGAAAGCCTCCTTTTCTCTTTGCCTTCACCTCTGACGGAAGAAAAGTAGTTGCAGGTGACTGTCAGAGAATCCATGGGCTGTGCTGTCCTTGAGGACAATTTCTACCAAATGCTCATTGGAAAATTGGAATGATGGAGAATTTGAAGGGGGGAAAAAGAATGATAGAGACTGTAGAAATGAAAAAGACTCTTTATTTTTGGAAGTTAGAAGAGGAAATGAAGAGGGTGTTAGAGTCATGTGGGTACATATGTATATCTGTATGTGTGTGTGTGTGTGTGTGTGTGTGTGTGTGTGTGTGTGTGTAAGTACACAGACCCAGGAAGCAGAGGTTCAGAATCAGGGCTAAGAAAGGGTGGGTGAGAGTTGAAGGTGTTGACTTCCCCACCCTTAGAAACCCACATCCTGTGTGACCCAGAGCCACCTGTGGCTGGGGCTAAGCTGAAGTCTGTCAAGTTCAGGTGTGACTGCTTTGAGCCGGCCAGCTGCTCCCCAGTGTCTGCCTATGGGCTGAGCCAGGCTCCTCCTGGGCCAGCACACGGGCTTCTGGGCCAGAGTTCAGAGGCAGTACTGCCCCACTTCTCCCAGGCCTGTGGGGCGTCAACCAGGTCCCATGGAAAAGTCAAGATCACCTCCCGTGTCACCCATATTCCAAGGTGCAGAAGGTGTGCTGAGTGGGGCCGGGTTAGGAAGCCCAGCAGCTGGGGGGAGGACAGACTGGTCCTGCAGCTTGTCACCTCCTCCTTCAGCACCAGGGCCCGGAATCCATCTAACCATGTCCAAACTTCCCAGTAGGGTATATTTCAGAGACACAGGACACATATCCAGGGAGCCCCTGAGGTGTTTCTGAGCTGCTGTCTCCTGATTGTTCACTTTAATGTGTTTGATTTTAGGCCAAGTGAATGTCACCTCAAATTAAAAAAAAAAAAAAAAAAAAAGGCTGAGAAGAGTGCAGAGAAGGGGGGCAAGTGAGACTTCTGTAGAAGTCAGGGCCCAGAAGTCAGTGCAGGAGTGCCTGTGAGACTGGACCCCCATACCCACACCTGGTGAGGTGGGAGGAGGACTCACAGTCTCTCCCGTGAAACTTAATGCTTGGCCCAAGGACATTTTGAGACTAGGGTTTTGGTTGAAGAGGAGGAACAAGCCCTGCAAGGCTATTGGAGAAGGTGCTGTAACCCACCTTACTGAAGTCCAAGTGGTCCGATCACAGTCAGTACTCCAAGTGCAGTGACTGGTCCTCCCCTGAGTCTGTCTCTCATCTGTCTGTAGAGCCCCTGAGCGCTCATCTAAGGAGGTGCTTAAGTGGGGCCTCACCGAATCTCCCTTGGGGTTCCCAAGTTTCGTCTCCTGTGTAAGACTGAGTAAACCTGTTGAGTTGGGAGCAACTGGGAAATTTCATTTTAAAAGAACAATAATAAAACAATTTCCCAGATGTTCAGCCTTAGGAAGGGGCAAGAAGACCCCGAGCAGCACAGTGCCTGAATTTGAGAGCGCCATGTTTGTAGAGAGCACAGAGCAAGTCAGCCATCTCTAATCCACACAGGGATCTGTGTTCCCCAGAAAGAGTTGGGGCACAAGGGCTGGGTGTGTGTATCTGTGTGTGTTGTTTGCTTTCAGATTTAATTCAACAGCTGTGGGAAGGAGCATCTAAAATAAAGTGAGATCCAAGAACATGACATTTTGAAGAAATCTCTGCTTACTCTGTCGTCTCCCTGGAGGCCCAAGTAGTACAGTGTTTACTGGGGCGGCAAAGGCCTCTTCCCAAATTGGCTTCGGGTTCCTTCACTGGAAGCTGCTTTGTGGGGTTTAAGGCCTGGAGACTTTCCCAAATGCCTTCAGAGTCTGGCCGTTTGGGAGCAGTTTGCACGTTCAGGCTGAGACTCAGGGTCCACCCAGCAGGCGCTGCTTGGATGGGCGTGTGATCTAGAACAAGGTCCTGCAGAGTTAGCACACCACCATGTGACTTCTTGTGAGTCAGCTGGGTTTGGTCACTGCGAGATCAGAGGCGGGGCGGGGCGGGGTGGGGGGACGCAGGATTAGTGTCCACACACTCCACTTCCCTCCATGCCTTGTTCTCTGACCCGGTTGTTGGTGAACCACTGTGATTGTGAATCAGTTGCAAATACTGTGGACCTTGTTTGTGTCTTTTTCATTTATTTTATCCACAGAGATGATCAGTTTTTCAGTTTCTGGTGTTTGCTGAAATGATGATGACTTCAAACAGCAGGAATTTATTCTGAGTCCTGGAGTCTAGACATCCAAAATCAAGGTGCCCTGGGGTCACACTGTGGGAAGCCATTCTAACACTTGATTGGGTGGCTCCCGTTAAGGGTCTGAGGCACTTTGGCAAAAGTCGAAGTTTTTCCCGGCCCTTTCCTGATGAGAGAGCCCATCCGTGTGGGGGTGTGCCTGACCACTGACCCCGGGGACCCAATCACTGACCCTGACCTTGGAGTGCAGCCCCCCCTCAACCTTCATTGGATGGAATTCTCCCCTGAATCTCTTGTTCCCCAATAAAAGGCTGATCCCCGGCGTGCTCGCTCTCTCTCTCCTGCTAGCCCTGAGTAATCCCTGCTGCCCTGCTGGGCAGTTGGAGGAGAGAACCAGAGGGGAGCCGTCTCAGACCTAGCAATAGAAATAAGGTAATTGAGTCTGTATTTTTATTTCGATCTCTTCTAACTAACTTTATGCCTAGAACCTCATTAATGAAACCACTGCGCAGGCTGCGTGGTAGATCACACAGTCTCCGAAGGGCTAGAAAGGACCCTTCCTTGCTTCCTCCAGCTTCTGGTGGCTCGCGGCATCCCTTGGCTTGTGGCTGGATCCTCCACTCTTACCTCCATCCTCACATGGCTGCTTCTCTGAGTCACCTCTGCTGTGTCTCCTCTGCCTTCTTCTAGAAGGACACTTGTCACTGGACGGAGGGCTCACCCTGACCACCCAGCATGTCTACTACTTCTCAAGATCTTTAGCTTAATCTCACTTGTAAAGACCCTTTTCCTAAGTAAATTGGCACTCTCAGGTCCCAGAGATTTGGGGTAGACATATCTTTGGGGGAAAAAGGGTCGCCATTCAACCTTTCCACCTAAGTGTCGGCGCTGGGAGGCCTGAGCTCAGCTTCCCTTTTAGTTGAACACTCACGAAGGATCAGGGGCGCACTAGAGCCCCTCTGGGTGTGGTTTCACTGAAGTTCCACTGGACACCTGAGGGAGCTTTGAGAAGGGGAGAGGGCACAGGGCCTCTGGGGCGAGAAGCTCCTGGCCTGAGCTGTGTCTGACTCCTAAGTACTTTTGGCAGGTCCTGCAGCCTCTTTGGGACAGTCTTCATCCACAGGGAGAGGGACTGGCGTGTGACTTTTGAAGCTCCATCCTGCTCTCATCTCTGTTGCTCCTTCATAGCTGTAGAGCCCACACATCTTGTCATCCTGGAGAGCTGGGGGGCCTGAGGACCATGTGGCTTCATGAGAAGGGCTTCCCAGTGCTGGGAACCAGAGATCTGCACTTGGCCCTGGAACTCAACGGCTGGGGGACCTTGGTCAATCCTCTCAACTTCCTTGAGCCTCCATTTTCTTTTCCTTGATCACAAACATTAAAATATACACGTTCATCCAGGACTCGGGCTGCTTGACTCCTAAAGTCTCTTTGATTCTGCGGATCTGAGTTTTTAGTTCTTCTTGTCTTGTGTCTAAGGCTCAGAGCCAATTATCCTTTTCTTTTTGGAGATATTTTCTGGAAACTGATCTCTAACACCCAGCAGCTAGCCCGCACTCAGATTTTAGCTTTATTATCATTTGCTTTCAGTTTTGTTTTCAGTAGCAAGATTCTCTTTTAGGGAGATCTTGCTATAAATGGCACTTCTTTAAAATATTTTGCTAATTAATCTATAAATTCAGGAGCATTCTGAAGTTGTTTATAGCTTAATTAAGAAGTCCAGAAACAAATTAGTATGAGATACTTGCTGATAGCCTGCTTTCTCCATCCCTTCTTTGAATGCTTTGAAAAAAACCTTCCCTCCCCTTCCTTCTCCCTCCTTCCCTTCTCCCATCTCCCTTCTGCTTGAAAGATTAAGTGTGACTTCGGATTAAGTCACAGATGTCAGTGGACATGGAGGCATCCCTTTGGTACAAATTTCCTTGTCTCTGGTGGATGGCCCTAGGTGACCCTTTACTCCAGCAGATTTCCTTCCCAGGTACAGATTGTTACCTGCAGCTTCCCAAAGAAAGAAACAGCAACAGATAGATCCAGAATGAAGGCAGGAAGGAAAAAGAAGGAAAAAAGAAGTTAAACAGAAAACAAAAGTCTTAAGAGTAAAGGAAAAGAGTTTCACCCATTCCCCAAGTGTGGGGTGTCCTCCAAGCAGCCTGAGGGTGGCTTGGGCTTTCTCCTGATCTCTTGCACAATCCCCATCCCCCAGGGGCCCTATGTCACCCGCACTCCTGATTCTTTCAAGATGAATGCCCCCACCCATTGTCCTCTCTGCAGAGTGGTGTCCCCCTGAGCAGCTGCAGGCTGTCTTTTCTGTCTCTTCTGGAAGGACGAGGACAAAGGGCAGTTGAAGTGTCTGCATTCTGACCAAGAGGAGTGAGGGGGACTCTGCTTTCCTTCCTGGGTCTCGGGGCCTTTCCCTTTCCCTCTTCCTAACCCTCCGCATCTGGTCTTTCCAGAAGGGCTGGCCCTGCCTGTCTTTGTGGTGGGGTGTTTCCTTGGGCCCTGAGCTCTCTGGGGCCTATCCCCCTGCCCACCCCTCCCACCCCCAGAAGAAAGAGGCCGTCCAATGAGTTTGGGGAAAGTCCCCCAGAGAGCCCTTCAGGCCTGTTCCTTCAGGCCCCAGCCCCTGGCCTCTCTGTGCCTGTTAGCCTGAAGAGGACTTACACCTGCTGGCCTCCTGGAGTGTAGGAAATGGAATCGCAACAGGATCCAGCCAGATCCTTTCCCTAGA